AGCTGATAAAGCCCTGATATCCAATGTTGCCGTTTTACGGGATATTTTAATTTTGGTAGTAACACCTATAATATTAGGTCTAACACCTATAATATTATCTATAATATAGAGTCACATGTCATCATGTGATGTTGTCCGTTTTATAAGGAAAACCAAAGAATGCAAATACATTCGTATTTTAATTAACAAGTTTAAGTCTACCTTAACAAAATTTAATTGCTAGAAAATAATTATTATTTGTTAATTTTATTGACAGCCAAACAAAAAATGATATATGTTTAGTAAAGGCAACGTTTTTACTCAATTTAGTGGCCCTACAAACGGCATTGCATCTGAGCAAATTTATTATACTCATTATATATAATAATTAAGGCAAAATAACTTAAATATCGGCTGAAAATGCAATAATTTATTTACCTTTCGATATTTGGCATCACACATAAATCTTTGTAGTCGGTTAAGTAAAATACAATGAATTAACTGCTCACCAACTACCGTATTCCAATATATTAACGCGGTTTGAATGCACTGCCCTTTAAAAATGGTATTTAATACGATCACAAATTTTTAATTAAATTGAAAATTTGTGAAAATTAAAATATGGTTATATGATGCGATAATTTTCACATTAACATGTAGACAATAAACATGCTGTCTTTTAATATTATTATAGCAAAAACAAAAAATATTAATTTTAGATTATTTTCTAGGATTTTATATTGCGCTTTGTCAATTTTAAATTACCATTGGCAACAATGAATACCAGGGCGAGAGAGAACGAAAGCGGTTCTTGGAAAAGTTGGAAAAGGGGTTATGTTTCATATCTAAATGTGTAAACAAACCTGGAATGTTAGTACTAACTTTTCCAAAGTTAACTTTGTGCTAACGATTTGTGAACAAGAGAAATTCAGAATAGTTTAGTATAAACGCTAGAAATGGATGAAGACCAACCTTCCTGTTCATCCACGGGCCCAAAACCGAAGAAAATCAAAAAGAAGGCAAGAAGCGAGCAACACAGTCCAACTACTTCATCCAATTCCAATTCAAGCCCAATTAATAGAAGTCCTGGCGAAAAGGTGACCATGTTTTTCAAAAACAATTATCTGGTTGGATAAAACTGCAGTTTACCACGCTTTTTATATATGGCTGGGCGGCCAAATTGGACATCAGCTAAATTTATCTAAATTTTATTTGTAAACTCCATTTTTATCGTGCTATTTTACTTCAGTTTTAAATTACCTTTCCAAAAATATAACTCACTCTTAGTCAAGTATTCTGGTGAAAGAGGGGTTTACAGTTTTTCAAGTATAGGCGATAAGCGTCAATTTCGTACAAGTACCTAGGTAGGCTTCGGTCGACGTCGCAAAAAAATAGAGTTCAAGACACTAGCTGAATATTCTATAGATACCTAATGCACATTAGCTATTAAAGAACAAAACAATAACACCTAGCTAACAAGACATATAATTTCCTTATGGGAGATGTTCGAACTGTCGAACACGTCGGGGCACGAAAGTACTAATTTCTCGTTACAGTCTCTAACTGGTTTATTTGGAGTCTGTTTATTTATTTATTATTTAATTTTTATCGTGGGTATTTGGCAAAAACTGATTCATTCTGTCTAAATTGGCGCACTAACAGTAGGAAGTAGCGGCGGTTGTTCTTCCTCGACCAATACCAGCAGCCAACCACATGCCTAACAACGAATATTTAATAGAAAAAAGATTCACTCTTCTTGAAGCAAGGAAAATTTACTTAGAATCGACCCCCGTCGTAAAAGGCGAGAATAATAACAATGAACAGGTCAGCGTTATCACGAATTACTAAAAGAAAATTTGGACAGGAGTTATTAAGCGTGCGTTGACTATTTTTACTGTGCACAAAGTAACACCCTGACGTGTCGCATTTGTCTGAATGCGAAACAATTTTTATGAAATTACCATTTAGATATACATATCTTCAATAGGCTGAATACATCTTCTTATAAAAGCTCTTCGTACGTTCAAACATCAAACTTTTATTCACTTCAAAACTTTTATATAATCCGCGAGTAAAAATAAATATTTAATGGCACGAATCGTTTAGCAAAATAAATTTGCTTAATGAGTTAAAATTGGAAAAACAGCGCGTAATCTAAGATAGTAGGCCAAGTCCACTTGTAGCTTCTTAAGGCGCTACCTGCTAGACCATCACACTCATGTAATATCGAAAATTTCGCTGCGTTCGGAAGGCATAGAACTACAGAACAAACATGGTTATATAGTCATTTGCTTGATCTTCCTTTGGATGAGTCATTCCAGATCTATTTCAGTTTTTTTATTGTTGACTATTTTGTAGAAAGCGTTTGTTTGCACGGCAATACTTTCAAACACTAGTTTCAAGATCAAGTTCCAAATTATCAAATTGATTACTTTGCCTTCTTCTGGAATAATCTCAAGTTATATTAAGTGCGGATCTTGAAAATGTGTTAGATCGCTTGCCCGCTGTGATTTTGCTATACCGACCAATTTCCAAACTTTCCTAATTGTGCATTGTCTTCTATCGATCGATGAAGTTGCAACACTTTGTATATCTACTTTATTTTTCAAAACTGTATTGTACTGTGACCAGTTAGGTTGTGGCCCTTGGGGCTTTTACGAGCCATCAATCTGGCCCTTCGGTTAAAAAGTTTGGAGGCTCCTGACATAGCGTAGATACTTGATTAATAATTGTTTAATTACATTATATCTTTAGTTTATCATTTTACATAAAAAAGTTGCGAATGCTCTTATTAATTTACTTATACATTGACCTATCAGCTCATAAACATGATTTAAAAAAAATACAAAAAATTTAAGATGCGATTCTTGTTTGGATTTTCTGTTTCGATCATCGTAATCGGAGCCACAAATACACTTCTTTCCGATTTAAACTTATAAGCTAATCAGTATTAAGCAAATATACGAGGTAGAAAATTTGTTCCAGAAAATTGCTTGGGTACTAGTGATTTCCAACTTAGCAAATTGCACTTGCGTGCTTTGCTTTATAAAGAAAATATGGAGAAATCTTATGTTGATTGAACTTTCATTTGGTTTTAGGAATGTCAGTATTATGCAGGCGTAGGGCCAGATAGCACACAACTATATGCTAAAGAAGTTAATTGCGACGATATCTCAGATGACGCATGCAATCTACTTACAGAAGATATTAATTATAAATTAAGATACATTTTACACGTAAGTATAATACATTTTCTATTAATAGTCCGTTCGGAAAGAAATTTCGTTTTTTTAATCAGAAAATGCAATGAAAGGCGGTTTTACTAGTGGAAAATATTTTATTGAGTTACGCATAGTTCACTCTGGTTGAATACCTCTTTCCCATGCTGCCTGTAATGCCAAAAAAAGACCTATCCAATTTTTTACCCTTACCCTACTTAAAAAAAACATTTTCTCGAATTTGCACCAAACCGACGCTATTTAAACCAGTTCATCTTTTTTACTACATGATGACACGAGATTAACCTTGCTGTAGACAACCGGTGTGCCGTTCTTAGTAATGATATTTTGAGAAACGACAACGTTAACATGATTGCACAATTTTCAGTCTGTGAGGACATGAAGAAGACATATATGGAATTATGAGTATGAGAGACATCGAATGATGAGGAAGAGTAGCTAACGAAACACTAAAAAAATTGACAATTTCGAAAACCACATCAGCAGAACCGTCCAAAATATATATAACCCTTAACGATATAATAGTGGAAGCGATAGAAGAAAAAATAGTTAAAAAACACAACACAAAATGGGAAAACGAAATATACTGAAAAGCAGCCAAAACGTAAATAAAGATGATGTAAATAGACTGGACAAAGAAATATCAAGGGCAATCAGAAAAGACATCAGAAAGGATACAGATGAAAGCATGAAATAATTAGGCGCATACTAACAAATGGGAATAAGAAAATCATCAAACTCAATTACAAAAATGGCAACATAACATTTGTTAGAGATTATGAAAACATTTTATCAAACACTCTATACCAATCCATCCAGTTTAGATCCGAAGGAATACCGGCAGGGAAGAGTTCAAAATCAGGGTTCTGAGGACATTCCGAAAATTTCACTAGACGAAATATACAGGGCTTTAGAAAGGATGAAGAATAACAAAACTCCGAGGGACAGAAGCATTAAAAACTGGAGGATCGGATCTGATAACCAAAAGCTCTTTAATCAATGCCTGGAAAGCCACGATATCCCAACAAAATGGAGAAACTTAATGATGATTATACTTTAACATAAGAAGGGAGATATGGCAGGTCTGGAAAATTACAGACCAATTACCCTTCCTAATCACCTTTATAAACTGTACACCCGAATTATAACAAGTACATTAGAGGCAAGATAGGACTTTTACCAACCTCAGGAACAGGATAGATTCCGTTCCAAGTACGAACATCTGCAGTGCTTGAAATCCGTGTTAAAAAAAGCAATAGAATATAACCGTCTCTTAGCACTGATATTTGTTAATTTGATAAAAGCATTTTTATGAACGGATGACCCGAAGAGAATGGGAACAAACTGGCTCAGAAATTGGGGACTCAGCTCGGAACAGAGGGAACTGGAAACGTTTAGAGGAGGCCTATGTTCAACCGTGAACGAGAAAGGGTTGGAATAGAGAGTCACTCAGCGATCTAACGAGTTATTAACTAATACCTTATTGTCTTGTCATCGGCTTCAACTGGCCTTATAGTTCGTGGTGCATCTTCTACATCTAAATTTCCATATATATTTTTCATATCTTTCATAGCGCATCCAACAAAAAAGTTTAACTTTAACTTTTCAAATTAGACCAACAATGAAATGACGCAAAATACACATTTTGCAGAATTCTTCAAGTAAGTTACTACTAGAGATGGATACATCTCTAGTAGAGCTCTGAATGCAAGTGGTGCTCCAGTTCAATTTATTGAATCATTGTGCCAATAGTTGGCAGTGGAAAATATAACAGGCCATATTAAAAAATTATTTTTTAGAGTAGACCTTTCTTGCAGCTGAAAATCAATATTTATGAAGTCTGATAAAGTGATTTTTTTATTTTTAGGATTGCTTAATTAAAGGTAAGCTACAAGGCCGAGAAAATATTCTTTCGAGTGACGTTGAAGAGGCGTTTTCCGACTTAACCATTGATAAAGTATATGGAGCGCCTTCTTCGCCAAATTGGCAAAGGGATGGTCGCGATAATCGATTGCACTATCTAGAGGTAACCTACTTTTGTTATTGTTATTAGAATACCGTGGTTTTGAGCAGAAGTAATTTGTGGCTGTACTTTTTCGCTTTATTATTTAAATAATCACGCATCCTGATTTGGTTTTAACTTGGCAAACTTGACAAAAAATAGATGAATGTTCGTTCGTACTTCATTTTAAAGGTTTAATTCAAAAAGCTTACTATTTAAAATTAATTAAAACTGCGCCACATTGATTATTCCTTAGTAAAAATAAATCGGACGTATAGGTATATTGCACAATATGAGGGCTTATGCAACGTAACACCTTTGCAACTTTAGCAGCTCCTAAAGTGAAAATGCTTTAAACAAAATACTCTAGTAATTCTCACAAGTTTTGTTTCCAAATAATGTGCTTGGTTAGACTTTATAAAAACCACGGCCGTTTGAGGCGTAAACATTTTCAATTTTCTAGGACCAGAAGATTAATTTTATTGAAATTGCCGAAAAAGAGTTTAGATATAGTCAAGAAGGCGAATTTTTGACGGATTCAGAGTGGTTGAATCAGGACAATGAATCGGAAACTGATATGGAGGAATACAGAGAATTATTTGCTGAGTATTTTCAAACAATGTGTGAAGCGGTTGTTAGTGAAAGTGAAGAAATAAGACAGATGGCTTTACTGGATATAAGCACGAACCCCAATATCGGTCGAATTACCGATTGGTTTTATCATTTTTCATACTTTCTACTTACGAAAAACGTAACTTATGACCATTTAACGATGCGTGCGCTTCATTTACTGGAGACTTTGGAAAATAGCCCTCTATCTAGTATGCACGTGTACGGGAAGCAATTGAGATTGCTGATAAGACTATTACTTCAGCGACTGTTAATATCAAGCGCCAACGAAGATGTCATTAAATGCATGTGCTACGTTTTGTCCTTATTTTGCCTCCGACCACCACTTAAGAGGATGGTGTTGAGAAAACTCCAAGGAAAAATAGTTAGTGTGGAAGAAAATATGACGGTGGCATTTCTGAACATCATCTATTATGTTGGCATTGATGCTATTAAGACCGTTTTTTTGCCGAATTTGTTCCACTTTTTGAACATGGAAAAGCACAACCCTGATTTAACAGACGTGATAATGGTAAGATTTAGTTTTTAGAAACACATAAATGGCAAAAAAAGTTCAATACATTCTTTTACAGTCGTTATTACTTATTTAAACTTATTAGTAATCTGTGGATTAGTTAATGAATTGTGACAATACAAGATACCGTAAAACCGGGTTACTTTGCGCCTGGATGGGTAACTTTGCATCAGTGTTGTAAAAGTTAATTTTTACATTTCATTGGCCTCTAGTTGACTTAATTGAAACCTCGAGTTATGCTCAGCAGTACTATGAAGAAAACTATGGCTCATCTCATAGTTTTCAGCGACCTCTTTAAAAAATGCGATATGCTCAGTAACACACTATTATTTTTTGTTAATGATGAAACATATTAAAATAATGTTGAAAAATATAATAAAGTGCAGAGTTTGTTTTTATCCGTACACGTGCATGTTTTTGATAAAAATGGGTATCTTTTGCATCAGCAAAGTATACCCAAATTATTTACAAAGTTGGCCTTGCGGTACAACTCCATTGTTAGACCTACTACAAGCAAAAATGTCCAGGTTTAATAATAATGCTCGGGCTCTATTTGGCTTGTAAAGAAAACTGCTGTGATTCCTAGTTCATTTTAAATATTGCTTATGTCAATTTGTTTTAGTGTGTTTAAGCCTATACCAGTGTGTTTTTAGGCCATATATGGTGTAATATGCAAAGCCGATTTGAACAAAAAATTCACGTATTATGCCTTCAAGGAATCTTTTGGGTGCATATTAGTGCCTTACTACCGTCCAAAGCTTTTAAAACCAGGTAAATAATTATGTATAATTAACTTTTTTATTCTCAAAATACCCGTGTGATATGTGATTATTATACAGGGTGATTTAAAATTAGCGTCATTCCTCTGGAAGGATTTTGGGAGCATAGAAGAAATAGCATAAATGTATTTGATTGCACCATATTCGATTGTAGTTAACGTTTCTTTGATAACAGTAGGGATATAGCTTCTCTTTAATCTATTACTTTTTTTCGGGATTCCTTGAAAAGTTCGAGGAAAATCTGAGGTAGGGTATAACTTTAAGGTACGGTTTCGGTGCTGCGTTTGTCCCCAATCGCAATCGCAGCGCATCACTTAGCGTTTATAGCCCTAACAGATCAGTTTAAGAGATCAATTCGCGAGGTACATTTCGGGAAAAACTGTTGAAAATATGAACGATGTACTTTTAACTCTTATTTGGTTAGAATAGGAGGAAAGAAAGAACAATTCCTTACAAAAATCCTAATACAATTTACCTTCCATTTTTTCTATTGTTGGGGCTATTTTTCTCCATCCATTTTCTTTTACTGCAAAAATCTTACAATTTTCAAATTCGTAATCATAAATAGATGGGTATTTTCGGACTTCCTTAGTTCAATTGCCATCCTTATTCGCTAAAAACGAGTAATTTTAAGTACATTAAAGGAGTAATTTACGATCCGGTACCTTTATACGGTCTTCACTGTTGCTTTTAAATATTGTATTTCATTATGACTCAGCCGTTAGGACTTGTTCAGTTTTGTTTTGTTAAAGCTTTCACTTTCTATGACAATTTCCACTTTCTGGTAAGAATATTATTTAAAAACGATTTGACGGATTTAGAGCCTGACTAAGAACCCTAAACTTTATGCACGTCCGACATTGTTATATATCTTAAGTTTTGAAGAGTTAAATAAAAAAAATTGAAGACAAATACGCTGTAATGCTAATGTGTTGGACATAGGTTGAGTTGTTGCAGCTCTCTGAGTTGATGCATTATAAGTCATCTGTTAATGAGTTATAACTCATTAAAGCGGATTAAAGCTTTCCGAGACCCGTGACTTGAATTTTAACATCTAACAAAAAAAGGGGTAATCAACATTTTTATTACTAACGTTTTACCACTATGTCCAAACAAATAAAAAAAAAGGTCACCTCATTTGTTGTACGTTTTGCCAGCAACAGAAATGAGTTACTGCGCCGGGGCATGGGGTTGGTGCACCAAGCCAATTGCGCAGCACTACGCCAACTCCTAAAAGTTCGCTGAGTTACCCAGGCCTAGGTTGCCAGCAAATCTGTCTGGATGCATTGTTACCGTTGCGATTCCTCTAAAACATTTATTGGTTAATATTTTTTCAGAACAGATAATTTGCCTAAGTTTAAGAGGCTATACTTTTAGCTATACATATGCTAAATATTGCCAAATATTCCATATAATCTTTAAACTGCTTTAAAATAATGCTTAAAAAAACACAGTTTTAATCTTTGATTTAAACAGAGTTGATGTATTTAAAAAAATTACGTATTTTTTAAGAAACATTCTTCCTGTAGGTATTCTCCAAGTAAGTTAGTCACCGTATAGTTTGATCACGTCTTTTACTTCAGGTGCATTTGGTCATGGTGCTTGACTTTGGATAAATTAACATTTGAAATAGTTAATGTTTTTTGTTAAATTAATTTGCGATTAATTTAATTTCAAATCCTAACTATTTTAGAGGTGGAAAAGCTAGAAATTAGTACGGTAAGTGCGAAAGTAAGGCTGATGCGAACCAGACGGAAACTACAATGCAGCAACAGGATTTCTGAACATAAGGATGACCAAGTTTTTCAATATGCGTTACACAATTGTGCTGTAAACCGGCCAAATGTTCAAGGTAGCACAACAGAATCAGCCTTTTCACATGGACAAGGAGTAAATGGTTTTAAACTATTGGCTCCATGTTGCGCTCTTCGAAGAAAAATCGAAATTAGTAACCAACAACACCAGACGGGTCAAACTAGTAAGGATACTAAAGTAACAGTTGGTCAGATAAGTGCGTTACTACCCATACGGAAATTTGACGCTCCAAAGTTTTGCAAAGACCATTCGTTGCTAAGCTGTTGGCTGTAATAAACATTAAATATTATTATTATTAAATATTATTTTGATATCAATAAAATGTTGCTTTATTTTAACACCTAAACCGGCCGTCGTCCCTAAGTATTCTTTCCGGTCCCTCTCTCTGACTGGAAGAGAGAAGGTTTAGCCACTTGGAGGTCGATCTTTGTGTATTGGTTTCCTAAACATCATCTGGTATTAGCAGTACAATGATTAAGTTTTCTAAAACTGGAAACTTATATGAAATTATATAGTTTGAAGATATGATTACTTAGCGGTAGTTTAGCCGTTAGTTGGCCACTACTAATGGTGGTAAACATTTTTTGGAGAACTGGAGATCGTCTCGGGGTTTATTACAAGAAATCGTTGGATTGAAAGCGTAAAAATCAAAATATTAAAATAAGTGGGATTTCAGTACCTACTCATAGTACTAAATCGACTGTACATGATGTGCGTACTTTTAAGTGGAAACTTCTATTTCTATCTGTTAGGTATTTTAATAGCTAGATGTAGCTTTGTTGAGATTTGCAAGTGGTTCACTCTGCTTGAGCAGTCTTGGCCCAGGCCCTCAAGGAAAAAAGGGGGGTTTGAGGCTCGCTAATCCATATGTTATTTAAATAACATATTAATCACCAGGGTGTTTCAAAATCAGGGCTAAAATCTAGTTAATTTTGGCTTCAATCTCGGCTATTGGGAGAAGCAGCAATTGAATTAGCTGCGGATTTTAGGGAGGTTCTATAGCGGGTGCTTGTCGGGGATTGGCGATTTCCGGTTTTTTTTCGGCATAGGAAGTTCCTGTTACCACTTTCCAATTTTTCGTTGAAAGAGGTAAGCTTTCGCTTAGCCTCATTTTCCAATTTGAAGTACATTGCCGGAGTTTCGGTCGTTTTGGTGCAGGTTTTATAAAGTGTGGGCCGCCATCCCACGATCTGTGAAGAAGGGTTTGTGCTGCAGTTGGACAGGGTGTGACCGAATTTTTTGCCCCTTTGACGGAAAATTTAGGTCTGTTTTAAAAATTGAGCTTGGCAGCGTTGGAGGTTGTCTCCTTTTAAGAGTTAGACGATTTTGTTAGCTTAATCTGTTTGTCCAGAAAGTCGATCGGGGCTTCTTGCTCAGCTATGGTTTGTTCTTGAATATTGAGCATGGAATGGAGCAGTTTTGCTTGGATCAAAACCTAATGTCGCGTCCAGACCAAGCAGACAAAACATCGACCAAACCGAGGCATTCATGTTTCACGACAAAGTGGCGACAAACCCTAAACGTTTCGGCCACATTTTTGCCTCATTTTTGTTTCCAATTCCGGCGACTTTTGCAGGTTCCGTCTCAAATCGGTAAAGATCAAAGCACAGACTACTCACTATGACTGGATCAAAGAGTCTACATGATGATACATGTTCAAGGCGGTAAGTTTCATCGTTACTACAATTATATACTTTCGGATTGTTGGACGAAACTCACATGGTGCTGGTTTCGTACATTTCTCGGATTGAAGTCAGAAGGAAATAAAAGCAGAATACTTTCAGGTGTCTATTTCCTAACAATCTAAACTTGAGAATGGTTTGGTTGAAGCGAATTGGGTGTGAACGTTTATTGGCTAAATCGGCAGTTCGTAGTTCATATGTATTTATTTGTACTAGCCATTTTGCCGATATATGTTTCAAGGAAAACCGAATACTATTAAGAAATTGTCTGCCAACAATAGGCCTTCCAGGTATGTTTAAATAAGACTATCCTATGTCTTATTTTAAATATTACTATATACATGTGAATAATTTACGTATTTTAGTCTTTTCGTAGTATATTTATTTGTAGTAGGCATTTTCACGATGTGTGTTTCAAGGCACACGGGAGACTAATATTAAATTGTCTACGAACAAAAGGACTTCCAGGTATGTTTAAATAAGACTAACTTGCCTGTTTTAAAGATTGCTACAACATACATTATTCACCCTACATACTACATACATTTCGTAGGTTTTCAAGGTGCAGCTT